ATTTTCTGGGCCTCAGTTTCCTTAGGAGGAGATCTAATTTCCATCTTGCAGGCTGGTAGGGAGGATCTGAGGTAATGCCTACATGCCACCTAGAATGATGCCAGGTACCTGGCAAGCACCAGCATGTGGAAGCTGATATGATCACGATTACTAAGAGGCAGCATATCGAAAGGGAAAGAAACTGGCCTGGGAGTCAAACCTGAGTTCTAATCCCGGCTCTGCAACTAATTCACTGTGTAACCTCAGGCAAGTTCCTTCCCCTCTCTGGTCTCAGTTGCTCCATCTGTAAAATGAGGAGATTGGACTACATGACCTTCTGACCTCGGTGGTCTGGGAAGTGCTTGATGGTTGCCGCCAGCCCAGAGCACTGGGCGCTGGAGCCCCCCAACTGCACACTCACCCAGCAACTTGACGAAGTCCTGCATGTGCAGGCTCAGGGAGTGGAAGGAGGCGGCCCCGCTCTCGTAGTGCTGCTTGTTCACTGAGATGGTGGCCAGGCGGCCGCCCACAGTCCCTTTCTCATACACGTCGATCTGCACCCGTGGTCCAAAGTGCTGCTGGAGGAAATGGGCTACCGCAGAGCCCCCAATCCCAGCCCCAACCACCGCTGTCAGCAGGCCCGGGAAGCAGGGAGGAGAGAGACAGAGCACGGGAGTGAGAGATCGCAGATCACACCTTTGCATTCTCCTGCGCTGCAAGCACTGGCATTTCATAGGCTTTTAACATTTCAAGGAGGAAATCTGCAGACTTAGTTTTCAGTAGAGCTATTAATAACGAGCAAAGGTCAACCTGAAAACTGCCACCTCCTATAAAGAAAAAGACACTTTAGCAGCAAAAGAGCCAGAAAGAATCTCAAAATTCAGGATGATCACTTAAAGAGAATAAATTTAGTTTTATACAAAACTTACTACATTGTCCTTATTTTTCTCATTTTACTATGAATTGTTAAAAAGTGGTTACTGGGCAGTTCTGCTTGGTGGATCACTGTATGGAAACCACTCCTTAATCCAGGGGTTGGCAAACTAAGGCCTGCAGGCCAAATCCAGGCAGATGCCTGTTTTTGCAAACCAAGTTTTACTGGAACAGAGCCACATCCTTTCTTTTACTTACTGCTTGTGACTGCTTTTATGCTGGGCAGAGTTGAGTAGCTGCAAGAGACTATATAGCCCACAAAGCCTAAAATACTACCCCTTACAGAAAAAAGTTTGCCAACCCCTCGTCTAGTCCAACCTACCATCTGACACTGAAATCATTTCTCTGTGTTTCCAAAGACTGGAATGCACCCCATAACAGGTTGCTCATTATTTTATAGGGTACTCTATTCCAGTTTGGACTCTTGTTACAAAGTTTCAGCTTGTTGAGGTCTTTTCTGGGTTTTATCATCTGTCTTTACTACACACCCTGCTGTCTTGTCTGCTCAGTATACTCATCCAAGTCACTGATAAGAACCTTTCACTGGACAGGGCTGGGAGGTGCCACTAGGAACCACTGTCTAGACAAATACTAGTCACTAAATAGTGCTATGAGAGAGCAGTAAACCAGCTATAAGCCAATGTACTGGACTACCACCCTACCCACAAGTTTTGCCCACAGTGTATCTGAAACACTGCTTTCCTTTCAACTGACAGTCCAGTAACCCTATCCAAAAAGAAAATGAGAGAAATCAGGTATAATGTGTCCTTACTAGACTCATGGTGAACCCAAAGACCACCAGCTCCTCTCAAGAAGTGACAGGCAATCCTCAAACAATACAAAGTTCTTTATGATCGGGCCTGCATTTACTTATCCCACTCCTGGCCCTACCCTTGTAAAAGTCCCATTTCCTGTCTAGACTTCTTTTATTGTGAGCACATGCCTTTGTTCTCTTTCAGGCCTGGGCCTGTGCCTGAGCTGCTCCCTTTGTCAGGAGTGCTCTGTCACCCTGTGCCTCACTGACTTCTACAGCCCTTGTCACTTGTATCTTGGCTTGCCTGACTCACCTGGCATGAATCATGTGTTCCTCCTGCATATTTCTGCAGCAGTCTGCTTACCCTGGCTAAGTCCTTGCCAGCCTGTATTCAAATGATCTGTTTAAAGGACTGACAGTGAGCAAGGTCACTATGTCCCCAGATCCTGGCAGGTAGGAGAGTTCATGAAGTGTTTGTTGAGTGTCGAAAGAATAAACCACTTCCTCTTGCTCAGCATTTACAAAGCCACTTCCAAGGATACCCTTAACCTTTTTTTAAAAACCACTGTGCTCCCTTCCCCTTCATTGGCAAACAGTCCCAAGTTACTCATTCTTCCAGAGAAACTGACTGCAAGGCCTAGAAGCTGCCCCAAGGGCTATGGGGAAGCAGAAGACATCACCTCGCTGGGAATCTGCTCATTTAATACACCTGACACCCACACTCTGCTCTATGGTAAGATGTGCTGGGATGCAAGATGAATCAAACAGGGCTCTGTCCCCCCATGAACCCAGGCAGGGAGGGGGCAGAATTAACTATGACAACTTATGATGAAGTGCAGCAACAGGGTTCCAGGAAGTCCTGAGGAGGAAGCAATGAATTCTGTCTGAGGGTGTGGGAACACAGGCTTCACACAGAAAATGACAACTTATGATGAAGTGCAGCAACAGGGTTCCAGGAAGTCCTGAGGAGGAAGCAATGATTTCTGTCTGAGGGTGTGGGAACACAGGCTTCACACAGAAAATACCATTTGATAGGGACCCTGCAGGACAATCAGTTTTGCCGGTGAGTGGAAACGCATGCTCCGCAGAGAGAATGGCTTGAGCAGGGCAGCATGCAGAACTACATAGGTGGATTTAAAGGATCCTGAGGCCACGCCGAGGTGTTCAGATTTGATCCTGCAGGAGTCCAAGGATTAAGCTGTCCTAACAGGAAGCTCCTCATTTTCATGGTGAGTAGAGTCCAAACCTCCAAGGGCAGACAGAGGCTCCTGTTAGAGTGCTGAGGAAAATCAGGAAAGCTAAAGGGCAGCTTGGCGCTGCCAAGTGTCCTGCCCTGATGACTCTGGGATGAGATGGGCAGGGCCAGCTGGAACGAGGCAGCAAGCTCTGCATTGCAGAGCAGTTCTGCTGGGAGGAGGCCCCACCCTTCCCCAATGGCCAGTGGGAAATGTCCTGCCCAAGAAAAAGGGGAGTGCCCTACACCCCTGGACACTGCCTGCTAACTTCCCTATCCTTCAAAGCCTGGTTCAAAACCCACCTTCTCCATGAGGCCTTCTCTGGCCACTCTAGCCCTCAGGGTTCTTTCCGCTGAAAACCCTACACTTGCAGTCCCAAACTGATATCTGGCATGCCTCAGTCTGTCTTAACCATTTGTGGCCTGGCCTATGGTTTTGTAACCCAAGAAGCCTTAGCAATGTACTGACCCCAACGAATCTGTGGTGCTCCTATGGCATGCCCCAAGGTGCTCCTGCCAACTGGGGTGGAGTAGGGACTCTGCCCTTTCACACCCGAAGCCCATCTTTGTCTGTGGGAATTTTATATGTGAGGGACTTGAAGATCTTGAGACAAGTAGAGTTAAAATGACAATTAAGAGGAAAAACAAAAAAAGGAACTAAACAAATACAGAACTCTAGTCAATGATATGCATGAAGTATTTAGCGAAGTGTCCTGATGTATGCAATTTATTTTGAAATGCTTCCAAAGTAAGATGGATCCATGGATGGCTAGAAGAATGTTTGATAG